ATATTATACGCACAAACTGTATTTGAAATAACCTAACCGATTAAAATTCAAATAGTTTCAACTTTTCGCCCAGCGAGTTTGTCTGTATTTCTTCAGAGTAATAATCAAAATCAAAATTATTGAGGAATATTTAAGGTTTAAAAACAGATTTACATCAAACACTTAATCATTTACAGATGTTGATTTTTTATAGAGTAATAACAATGAGAATCTTAAAATGTGGAAAGTGTTCATAATATGAAAAATGAATGTGTGTGTACTTGCATGTTATCGTTAATTAAAATTTAGTGATTAGGTGAAGCCTTTGTCTGTAACAAACGGAATCATAACTGTTTTATCCATCATCAAGTTAACGGTACATATGAGCATTTAAATCGTCAAAATGTCTGTAGAATAAAAAGGCATATAGTCAGTTGTCATGCTGAACACCAAAAATGATTGGAAATAAATTTAAATCACCATATTTGGCTGGATAATTAAGCGTTCATTTATTGTTGTAATCAAGCTAAAGGTAATATAATCAGGGTGAATAATAAATTTAATTAATTGTTAATCAACATCTGTCGAGAGGGTGGGTAATTATTTCAGAAACATTCTTGAGCTTCCTTATCTATCGCGGACTACGAAATATATTCCAAACATTGTTCAAGCTCACATTCAGTGGCCTGAAGTTTCTCTTACATATACTCCCTTACACTTATGACGTTTAGTTTCATAGACAACTTCCTTTTACTCTTTTCGTGGGCTGTCCTTAACTTTAGCCAACGTCTTCCTTACGGTATCACTAGTGCAGAAATAAACTCTCACATCATGCTTCTTTAAAATCCACTTGATTTATTCTGATATTTCTTTATTACGCGGACTGCCTACGGAGTGAATACGAAATTTACTTTCATTTCATTTTTGACATTCTTTTTCGAAAAATAAAGGCTAATTATTTCGCTCAATACAAAAAAGACTAAATTTAATTAATTGGTTTGTCGTTAGTCTCTGTAATAGGATAAGTACACTAGCTAAACAGTTTTCTGACAACTGTATGTTTCGTAGAACGAGCGAGTACCGACCCATAATCAACATACTTAACCACATACGCCTGTTAACCCTCTTAGCCCGAAATGAATCGGAACAGAGGAAGGCCAAAGAATACACTACGTCGGGAAATGGAAGAAGACAAGAAAAGGACAAATAGCAGCTGGAAAGGATTGTCCAGGACCGGGTTGGGTGTAGAGTACTGGCGGGCGGCCTATGCTCCTCCAGAAGGGGTAACGGGCATAAGTTAACACTCGTGGAGGAACTTAGGCTGCACACCAGAGTCCTCCAACTAACTCTATCCTGGGAAGTTCTTTCCGGTTGCCATTCACTCTTTTGATATCCGCCTCCAATTCCCGACTCAATGTGTTCCTTGGTTTTCCTTTTTACCCTTTCCTGTCAGGATTCCAAGTTAGGGTTTGCCTCGTGTAGTTTGATGATTTCCACAATGAATGTCTCATCTACCCCCATCAAATATTCCTGGTTTCCTCCTCAACTGGAAGTTGGTTTGTTCTTTCCCATAGTAGGCTGATGCTGACGGTATCCGACCGACGGACATTGAGTATCTTGCGTAGGTAATTTTTTAATATACTTGTACATTTTGATGGCGGTTGTGGTAGTTCTCGAGGTTTCGGCTCCGTACACTAGAACTGTCTCGAAGTTTGTATGGGAGATTCTGACTTTAGTGTTGGCTGACATTTGTTTTGAGTTCCATATGTTCTTCAACTGTAGGAGTACTGCCCTTACTTTGCCAATCCTTGCCTTTATGTCTGCATCAGACCTTGTCTGACACCGGTCTTCACTTGGAATGCATTTATTGGCTTGCCTCCATGTATGGTTTTGAAGTGTAGTCCGTAGTAAGAATACTGTATGATGCTGACGATCTTTTCAGGCGTACTTCAGTGCTTCAGGTGGTATGTTGTCAGGTGCCACTGCTTTCCCATTGTTGATTTGTCTGATGGCCATTCTGACTTCTTCGATCGTTGGTAGAGTGACATCTATAGGAAGTCTGTGTGTGTTGCTTCGATGTCGGGTGGATTTAATGAAGCTGGTCTATTCAAGAGTTCCTCAAAGTTCTCTACCCATCTGTTCCTCTGTTCTTGAATCTCCATGATTGTCTTGCCTTGTTTATCCTCGACCGGTATTTCTGGTTTACTGTATTTCCCTGCTAGTATCTTTGTTGTGTCACATAGTTGTTTCATATTTCCTTCTCTTGCAGCTTTTTCCACTGTCGTTGCTAGGTCTTCTACGTATTTCTGCTTGTCAGCTCAAATGCTCCTCTTCACTTGCTTGTTTGTTTTTGTGCATTCGGCGTGTGCCTTGACTTTATCTATTCTTGTTCGACTGTTGTTAATCGCTATCTTCTTGTTCTCTCTTTATTGAATCTTATACAGGGTTTCGATAGAGATCTGTTCCTTATGATGATGCTTGTTGCCACCCAGCACTTCCTGACACGTTGAAGATAGTGCTTCTTTGATCCCTTTCCGAACGTCCTGTATAATGTTTATTCTTCTGTGAGTAGATCTCGTTAGACTTGGAACCTGTTGTTGAGAGTTATCTTGAATTGGTTGAGTTTGTTAATATCATGAAGTAAGGCTGTATTGAACATTTATAATGCTGTCTCCTCAGTTACCCAGTGTTTCGTCTTAGTCACAAGCAGGTGGTGATGTGAAACTATGTTAGCTCGTCTCCCGGTCCTCACGTCTTCCATTGTCCTTCCGAATTTTTCATTGATGCATTTATGATCGGTCTGGTTCTCTGTAGTGTGAATGCACATAAATTTGCAAAAATCGGTCACCATTCTCGTCTCTCTCTCTCTCCCAGTCCATGTGCTCCCATGATATCTTCATATTCGGTGTTGTCCATTCCGAATTTGCCGTTCAAGTCTCCCATCAGGATGGTCAGGTTTTTTCCTGATCACTTCTCTATGATCGATTGTAGCCTCTCATAGAACTGATTTTATTGTCGTAGTTGCTCTCATTGGTGGGTGCATAACGTTCTGTGTGATTCCTTACTTGTTTGTTTTGAAGGGTGCTTTGATGATCGTGGGTCCATGAGAGACACCCATCCTACAAGTGCTTTGCGTGCTTCTTTGGACAGCGTCAGAGCAACTCCCTGATTGTGCGGAGCATTTTCTTCTTCGTGACCAGAGTACAGCAGCATCTCTCCCGAAGTTAATCTTTTCTGTTCAGTTTGGGTCCAATGCGTTTCACTGATCCAGAGAACCACCAAGTTGTATCTCTTGATTTCCGTAGCTATTTGGTTGTTCATTCTGGTGTCGCACATGGTCCGAACATTCCATGTACCTATATTAATTGTTGCTCTGGTTGCTGGAAGGAGCATGGACCTCGTAACTTCCTAAGAATATCGGCTTTCACCATGAGGCGTCATAATTCTTCTTAATGAAAATCGTTCAACTGCTAGGGAAAAGTTTGAATGGTTTAATTTGTTTATTCTGGTTAGCGTTTTTAGCAAGTTTGTTGTCTTTATGATAGAGGTTACTGACCACATTATCAACCCTTCTTTACTCGAGCTTGGGACCGACAGTAACCCTAGAAGTACTACAGGCGGAGTTGACCCATCATCTTACATTTTCTTAAATGTACTAGTTATATTTGTTATTATTATGGTTGATTATTATGTGCTTTTTATATTTTTTATGAAAAATGTTGTATATATATGCGGCAGCATATTTAATTTCTTAGTGAAACGAATAGTCGAAATTATCCGTATAATAAAAGGCATTTTTCCGGTACGTGTATTATTAATAGTCTCTAATAGAAAGGATAATCCTTCCAATTTTTGAATGCTCTTAGTCACAAAGTTGTGAACATATATTCCAACGAATTGGTATTTAATTCAGGTGATTATTTAAAGCAAAAACTGATTTGCATTGTATGAGATTAGTTCGCTTAATGAGTTGGTTGCCTATTGATTAAAGCATTTGACTTTCATCTACTAGGTTGCAAGTTCAGATTCTGCGATACTTACTTTAGTTTAGACAAATGATTAGTATTACTAGCCTTTCACAAAAGTCAGTGCTATAGATTAAATACACAACCGCCCCCAAATGCCCTGGTACGGTCGAGGGTGGGGAGAGTCAGCTTTCCTTCACTAAATGCTCTCACACGGTCACGCGTATACAGCCACTGTCAGAGAACTACTCACTGCCTTCTTGCGGCGGGGGTGTTGTTTACGAAATCGAGAGGACAAAAGCGAATGTTCAGCGTTTAAACCGGGCTGATGGATATGAAGGATCCACCCTGGGGAGTTGGAAAACCCTGATTCCAAACCAATGGTGCACATGGGCTCCAGGATCCTAAGGAAACAAATGGCGTATGAACCAATTGTTGGTCACCGGTTACCATGGGACTGCATCTCCGTACCTTGCTCCACTGCCTTGTGGATCAGACCTTTAGGTCAAACGCTCCGGGTGTGACCCTCCAAAGAAACTACCTGCTGCAGTCTGGGCACCCGAGCAGTATCATAGCCCACACACAAATAAAATGAAATGACAATAATTACTGGAAATACTGTTCGTGCTGCAATAAAAATTCAGGCAACTCGCATCCATTTTAGTGTGGCGCATATGTATCTGGTGCCCCTTTGTACCAATATTTATGTGCTCAAATAAATAAATACGTACACAACCTTGCGATTGTTTAATGACTTGAAAACGCATGTCATAGACATGTGAGAGCAAGGAAATATATAAACTATCTAATTCTTTAATTTCATTGTACTTTAAATGTGAACATAATCTGGGTGTACTTGAAGATTGTAAAGTACTGTATAGGTTGATGTCATTATTGTTAGTAAAATTAGTACCGCATATTTTTATAATCTCTAAGAAAACAGTATAGCAAAAATAAAGGTAAGAAGTTCAAAACCAAATCACTCAAACGAAAAAAAAAACTTTTTATGTCATCTGTTTAGCCTTTATCTTCATATTTTTGTAAAAAATATTTCAGTTTATGAAGATCAAACGGATAGAGGAAAATAAAATAACTGCATCGGAATTGATGTCAGTTAGCTTTGCAACTCTTCTTCCATCGAGAATAGGTTCAGAGAAACAAGTCGAATCGCGTAAGTATTTTCAGATATTCTGTGAAATTCAGCCTTTTTAGATACGTTTCTTGTTGTTTTGGAGTCATATTCTAACGATACAGAAATTAGTCAGATTTTATGTAGGTATGATGCAGAATTGTTGATCAACAGATTTTTGTCAATAACGCGAATAATTAAACTAACTAATGTAACTGAGCAACAAACTACACGTATTTTGTATTTGGTTACGGATTATTTATTACGCGGCGAGTCATGTTTTCTTGATTACCGAAGCCAAAATTTATAGAACATTGTTCGAATAATCGTATCAGTAGTTGTAGTTCAAATCTATAAACGGTTGAGCTTCATATATCAGTCAGATTTTGCTTTTTGTCTTTGTGTCGAGTCATCTTAAAGGATTGCGGTTACTAAGCTCACACTGGTTCGAAAACGGGTATAACAGTATTCAAGGTAAATAAATTGAACTCATGAACCGATCTAAGTTCGACAACTATTGAAAACCTGGAAGTGTTGGACAGCTGAACGGGAAAAGTTGAGGATAAAATAGCGTTTAGCACATATAGGTTCTCAAAGATGTTCTCACTTGAATTTATTTGTGACATTAAACTTAAAAGATCACAAGTTGTATAGTTTTTTTGTTGTTGTCTGTCTGTGAAAATCTATGGGGTTACCTATGTAAAAACACTAAAAGCTGTAAACCACAAATAATTAGCTCTGGTGTTCAGACATGTTGACATTTAAGACTATGGATTTTGTGGTTCCGTATAAAAGCCAAGGTTCTTGAATAATATATTTTTGAAAGTCACATATTCTGTTGCATGTAGGACGATTATCCTGTGTGACTAAATCGTTGTGGCTGGTAAAAGGTTTGAATCCATATCTCATAGTTCAAACCGTGAAACCACCGCTTCACTTATTAATAACCATAGCATTTCTTCTTCTAGAGTAGTGTAGTAGCTATAGACTTACATTGTGATTCAGTAGTTGTTTCATGTAAAGCAAACCTATCGCACAACTTCTAATTACACGTTATCATGATTAGGATTTACAGAGATATCGAATAACTTCTGCATAGTTTCCTATTAGAAATTCACAATATTTTAGGTAAAATATAGATATTTGTTTACAACTGGTCAAACTAAATGAACCACTCATTTAGTAAACCCTTTCTAAACATAGGTCAAACGTCTATGATGACGCTACGAAATATTGGAATTCGTATTTTCACGTGTTTGTCGAATCGAGAAATCGTTCTCATTGAAAACAATGAATATGCAGCTAATGAGACTTAAAGAATCACTGGCGGCCTTCAGTCAGCGACCTTAAAATATTCAAATATATCTCAGGAAAATAAGCTTAACTATTCGAGTTCCAATCGATTATAGTAACCGTAGTGTGCAGGTCTAATACAGCCTTACTTCATGATATTAACAAACTCAACCAATTCAAGATAACTCTCAACAACAGGTTCCAAGTCTAACGAGATCTACTCACAGAAGAATAAACATTATACAGGACGTTCGGAAAGGGATCAAAGAAGCACTATCTTCAACGTGTCAGGAAGTGCTGGGTGGCAACAAGCATCATCATAAGGAACAGATCTCTATCGAAACCCTGTATAAGATTCAATAAAGAGAGAACAAGAAGATAGCGATTAACAACAGTCGAACAAGAATAGATAAAGTCAAGGCACACGCCGAATGCACAAAAACAAACAAGCAAGTGAAGAGGAGCATTTGAGCTGACAAGCAGAAATACGTAGAAGACCTAGCAACGACAGTGGAAAAAGCTGCAAGAGAAGGAAATATGAAACAACTATGTGACACAACAAAGATACTAGCAGGGAAATACAGTAAACCAGAAATACCGGTCGAGGATAAACAAGGCAAGACAATCATGGAGATTCAAGAACAGAGGAACAGATGGGTAGAGAACTTTGAGGAACTCTTGAATAGACCAGCTTCATTAAATCCACCCGACATCGAAGCAACACACACAGACCTTCCTATAGATGTCACTCTACCAACGATCGAAGAAGTCAGAATGGCCATCAGACAAATCAACAATGGGAAAGCAGTGGCACCTGACAACATACCACCTGAAGCACTGAAGTCATACACAGAAGTAAATGCAATCATACTCCACATTCGATTTAGGAAGATTTGACACGAAGAACAAGTCGCACCGACAGACTACAAAGAAGGATATCTCGTCAAGATAACAAAAGAAGGAGATCTAAGCACATTTGAGAACTAAAGAGGAATCACACTACTCTCAGTACCAGGAAACGTTTACAACAGCGTTGCCAAACTGGACGAAAGGTTCAGTAGATGCCAAGCTTCAAGATCAACAGTCCGGGATCCTTAAGGGTCCTTCGTACGCAGACCAAATCGTAACAATACGGATCATTGTTGAACGATCAATTGAATGAAATTCGTCATTATACACCAACTTCCTTGACTATGAGGCGTTTCAGTGTGGATACGGGAACGTTATTTAACATCCTTCAACAGTATGGTACGCCTGAACAGATCGTCAACATCATCCGGAATTCGTACTACGGACGACACTGCAAAATCATGCATGGAGGCAAGCTAATGAATGCATTCCAAGTGAAGACCAGTGTCAGACAAGGTCGATTAATCTTGCCCTTTTTTTCTTATGGTGATCGATTGGACTATGAAAACCTCCACATCTCAAGGGGAGCACGGAATACAATGGACAGTTTGTATGCAGCTAGACGATTTGGAATTTTCAGATGACCTAGCTCTTCTATCCCATATACACCAACAGATGCAGGTGAAGACAACTGGTGTAGCAGCAGCCTCTGCAGCAGTAAGCCTCAACATGCATAAGGGACAAACCAAGATCTCCAAATACAACACAGAGAACACCAATCCAATCACAGGTGATCGAGAAGCTCTGGAAGTTGTGGCTTATTCTCCTTCACGAGGGCTAAACGGTGTAAGTAAAGTAAGTGATTAGTGTGGAAGTACTAGGTTCTGATTTCAGTTGCTTGGTTTCTAGGTTTTGAAACACGGAAAAGCTTGTGTATACGTTGTTCGTGATAGGTTTTTTCCAAATATTTGTAATTTTTAACAGATACTGTCTTGAAGTCATAAGTTTTTTTATTTAGCATATAGCTTATCATCTATTGGCGTGTTAAATTCGTATAATTTTTTAAAAATAGATTTCACGGTTATCTCGTTGACTAGTTATGCACGTTCAATATATTTGAAGAAATTTGTTGTCATATGTTATTGGTTTACTTGTTTCGTAAATTTAAATAAACGTCTAATAAATATACACATCGTTTCATAACTATAGCTCCTAAAGCAAACGTGATATCATTGGAACAACTAGCTGCTCGCATAATACGCAGCCTTCTTCGAAATGTCATCGAGTTTCGTCATAATGGTCCACCCATACTTGGCCATATGGAAGAAGTAGAAGAAGAAGGGGATGATGAAGCAAATACAAGCTGTGATACAAATGAAGATTCTGATACTTTGATGAACAATGCTGAAATAGAAGAACTTGATGGAACAAGTAGGGAAAGTGGTGAAAGCGTGTTACAACCTAGAATTCCAGGTTCACAAGACTGCTCAATGGCTCGATTTTTGTGAGTTTGTTATTCGTATTTCTTAAGGCATGGAAACATTTTTTGCTCAAAATAAATATCTATTCACTTTGATAGGTAGCAATCTGTTTTATGCTGATGCTATAATCTTAAACTAGAAATGTTGATTGTAATAATTTCAGGCGTTTTCAGTGCATTTGTAGGCCAGTAATATTCAATCTTCTGTTCTGATTGAATAGCAAAAACGAGATGTGATTCAAATGTTTCATAAACTTGACTTGCAAAGCGCATTGTTTGCAGTAGAATTAAGATCTGGTTAGTGGTCAGAACTCATAGTACATGGATTTGGCGATAGATTGTACGACAAATAGTTTATGACTAATTTATGTATTTATGCCATCCTCATCGGGCTAACCAAAATGCTTTATAACTGCAGTTGTATGATTTAATTTCGTTTCTAGTTTTTCACTCATACCTGAATAATATCGATCATTTCGATTAGTAAGATCTGCTAGTTACAGGTTGAGGTGACATTCATATGCTTACTCCGTTCAAAGAAAGATATTGAAAACAAATATTTACATACTAATGTATACATTTTACCTTGGAAAGTATGATTGACTGTTATTCTATATTTTGTGGACAACCGTATGATATTCAAACCAATTTAAACGTAAGTTGAATATCCTTCGACCTAAACTTAAATTGAAGAGCGTATTTTTCGTATGGGTTATCGATTTTTTCAGATGAAGAAGTTGATTTGAAATGATTTGGACGATCCCATTGTTGATATTTTTGTTTGAAACTTGACATGTAGGGATTGCCTCGACATACCCATTATGGCACAAGTTGATATAGAATAGATGGGATGTGGTTAACATTGGAATTAAGGCGCGCATTCCGTCCTATTTAGGACTTGTCAGCTGGATTTATCTGCATCCTAAAGTTCATGCTCATTCCGGGTCTTGATTCCAGTACAATTTGGTTCATACACCACCGCGTTATCCACTTAATTTTTGAGTCCGGATAACCACTCACTTGTGCAACGGGTTTGAGTCCCGGAGTGAACATCAAATTTGGGTTACTGGCACATCTAACTGACGAGTTCCAAATAGGATAAAACGTCCGTCCTGGATTCCAATAATGGACACATTCCATATATTCTGTATAAAAAGAACGTAATGCTGATTGTGATTCATTTTACATCTTAACACCGTGTTCAAAGAGAGGGTAATATACTGTCAGAATAATTCTAATCCCAATACAAACAGTCTGACTTTTATATTCGAATATCATCTATCATTTAACGTAATATTCAGTCACTTTTTACAGAATATGTAAGTGAAAAAAATGATAAGTGTATATTGTTTCTCAACAGATGATCGTATCGAGTACCAAATACATTACTTACTTGCCAACTAGTTAACATGAGTACCTTGAAGAATTAGTGTTGGGCTTATATATCATGGTATTTTTTTGTCTTTTCTAAGAAAAGTTTTCACTAGTATTTCTTAATCCCATCTCGATTAAGGAGGTCACTTCATGCGTACATACATGGTTTAAGATGGTCTGAAAGTTTTTTACGCGAGAGTGAAGCCATCACTTCATAGTGTTTGTTTGTCTTAAATCTGATCATAACATTGGATTTCCTCTTGGAGATATTGTTAAATATTAGTTATGGTTCTTATCATTAACATTTCATGGATTGACTACTACATTAGTTAATATTATGGTTCCATTGTTAATCCTGCGCCATATTTCCCTACTCATATTACCAATTCATATATTTATGTTTTTATATAATCCATCTCTTTTATGATACATAAGATTTCTGTTTACAGTAAGTATAATTAATTACAGTTTAAATCATCTAATGAAATAATCCCAAGAGGATTTCTTGAAGCTGTAAATAAGCTATTTTCAATACATTTAAATATTCTGTGTGTAATAACTTAATTTCACTAGCGTAATTTAGAGTTCAGAAGTATATGGTGTTAAAAATCTTAATACTATGTCAAGAGAACATGATATCAATCATTGACAAATAGTCAATGACATTATTTAGATCAAACATTTTGTCTACAGATTAGACAGCAATAGGTTCTAATTTTCGAGAAAGTATAACATTTTTTAGCGTCTTCCTCTTTATCGGAAGGGGTTAAGCGCTCGCGCGCGAGACTGGTAGGTCCTGGCTTCGACTCTCGAGGAGTCCCATACTAGGACGAAACGGCCGTCCAGTGTTTCCATGGTGATCTAGCTTCAATTGATTCATGATTTCAACTATTGAGGTTTTCTTCTTTACCAGTTTATAACAACACTTACGATCCCTAGGTCGTATAGGGTCTCTTGTCAATTACTATTGAAGACTACCAGACCAACACGCTGTTATTCATCCTATTGATAGAACCGACAAAACTCTCCAGTAGAATCTGGTTACCTACTAGTATAACATGAATGTCATAAAATATCGTGTAACATACGTTTGTGATTCGAATTTCTGTATATATGCGTACATATTTATTGAAAATTAATTTTTATAAACCTCTGTTAATTAATACAATTTTCTTTATTATTTGCATGATATTTTACTCTTTTTTCTAAATGCATATTTGGTTATATGCATGGTAATCATAGACGTTTAGCCTATCTGTATGTGTTGCATTTGTCCTTACGCATTATCTTTTTATAGCAATTTGACATTTGACAAGAGGTGGAATGTTTAAAATGAATCGAATTTTATTATAAGCATTTTGCGTTTCCCTGAGAGAGAAAGAAAATATAAGGAGATTGATACAAATTTTGTATCCTATAAGAACTTTTTTGACATAGTTTGATTTTCCTCGTTTAACTCATTATATCCTGTGTACTTTTAAACAAAAATGTTTACAGCTATTTTTCTTGCTTCATATATTGCTAACGTATGACTTTTTTTCTAAAAGTTAAAAACCGAATTTGCTAAGTGGATGGCTTTTATTGATCTAAAATTGTTTTTCTACCCCCTAAAGCAAAGTTTCTTTGGAACTGACTGGATACCATAGTATTCGTGGATGACGTATTCTCATCCATTTAACAGTAAAGTTGTATGATTGAGGATTGTGCTTATCGACATTGTATGGCTTTTAGCAGATATATCCCGCTTCAGCTAGCAATATTAGCTTGTCATCAAGAATTACATTTGTCGCTTTCGTTCCATCCGCTCTTCTTTGTTTGATGGTTAGTATATTTAAGATATATGTAGCTCCCATGATATTTGACTAAGTGGACCCGACTACTACATTAACATAGCAGCTACGGTTAGTTGACCGTACCTCAGTTGAGGGGATGGGTATGTGTATCAAGAACAAACATAACAGGAGTTTTTCGCTGCAGAAATATAGAAAGAAAATTGCAATAATTGTATCCAATTACACACCTCGTCCTTCAATGAATAAACTCAAATCCGACGTTCATTATTAAAAATATGGTTTATAAATTTTACTAACGACGTAGAACTACCTATTTTTTCAGTAGCTTCGAGTGTTTTATTTTCTTGGGATTATTTTTAGCTCACTAAAGAAACAGAATTATGATCTGTAAGACTGAATTTATCTGTTTCTAAACAAGAAATGTCTTACTGTTTGAATCTTTATCTTATTGTTCGTCTAACCTAAACATGTGGTTTTTAAGTGTACGATGTTTTGGAAATGCGGAGTTTCGTATTTATTGGGTGTACGATCAGATTTAAGTGTATTGTGATAAATCTACAAAACATTTGATTTTTCTTTCGAAAAAACTCCCTGAATAATTACGGTTTATTATTCTGAATACGTTACATGCAAGAAGTAGACCTCATGATAGAACAGTCACTCATTCACTAGTTCGATTCAAAATAAATCAAGGGTAGCAAGTTACCATACGTCAGTATTTCGGAACCGCTGTTCATTATTGTACTGTTAGCGTCGTTCTCCTACATTAGATTCAGAATAGTTATTGAGATTATTGTAATGCACGGTGGATATCAAAAGTTTATATATATTGAAAGGATGCAGTTCAAATTTAAACTTATCTAACAAAACATTATTCGTCATTTATTTTTATTAACCCTCAAAAATATATGTACTGAGTCATCAAGTTCACAAGTTTGTACACGACTATACACTACAGCATAGCGTGCTTGGTGTCACGTATTAACTGGATTTGTAATCGATTTTCGGTTCAAATTTAAATCAATTATACTGATAATCAAAAAAATCCCAAATTCAATAGGTAGTGAAATCCGAAATAGGAATACTAGTGGAGCATTTGAAACAATAAAAGTTGGATGAAATTTATTGACACTGCCAGGGTTAGGATGAATTATTATTTAACAATATTTTCTTGTTGAATGAAAATTTAGTTTTGTAAATGATATATCGTGCATGTTGTTTATTTATATGAACCACTTGTAGTAAATTTGAATAATGCTTACATGCTTTTCTTTACACTTCCTTTTGGGAATGTACAGGCACTATTTGATAAATCACGCTGAGATAGGCCACGACAGATCACAAGTTTCAAATCAAAATTCACCTACTGAAGATACCAACTCAAACAGAACAAATTCAAATGATGTGCAAAATGATACAACTGGAGATGAAGCATTGTAAGTGAGTAGTACTTTCTTAAATAATCATCCAGTTATGACCAGTTTTTAGTAAATATATCCTGTAGTTTAATGAGATAAACTAACTAAAAGCTGCTTTCGTTCAGCAGCTATTTTTAATAAAACATTTGCTCAGCCGAAGATACATAAAACTCCGCCTGTAGTTCTTCTAGGGTTACTGGAATTACAGAGGAATCACACTACTATCAGTACCAGGAAATTTTTCAACAGAGTTCGCAGATGACCTACCTCTTCTATCCCATATACACCAACAGATGCAGGTGAAGACAACTGGTGTAGCAGCAGCCTCTGCAGCAGTAAGCCTCAACATGCGTAAGGGACAAACCAAGATCTCCAAATACAACACAAAGAACACCAATCCAATCACACTTGATCGAGAAGCTCTGGAAGATGTGGGAATTTCCACGTACGTGATCAGCATCATCGACGAAAAAAGAGGATCTGATCCAGATGTAAGGGCAGCACTCCTACAGTTGAAGAACATATGGAACTCAAAACAAATGTCAGCCAACACTAAAGTCAGAATCTCCCATACGAACGTCGAGACAGTTCTAGTGTACGGAGCCGAAGCTTCGAGAACTACCACAACCGTCATTAAAAAAGTACAAGTATATTTAAACAATTACCTACGCAAGATACTCAGTCCTGACGGGAAAATGTAAAGACGAAAACCAAGGGATATATTGCGTCGGGAATTAAAGGCGAGTATAAAAAAAATGAATAGCAACTGGGAAGGATTTCCTAGGACAGAGTTTGTTAAAAATGTTGGTGGGTGACCTCTGCTACTCTACCAGGCTCCAGTAAGTAAGTAATAGATAAATAAACAACTTACAGGGAACTTTAAAAGTCAAAACGCTAATGCTGAACTATTCTATTTGAATTATCTTAGGTAATCGACCCCTCGACATTAAATGCAACTAGTCATTTTCACACCTTACCTTGCATCAAAGCACAACGCCCATTTAATTTCGTGATTCACTCATTTTCATGTACTTGAATAAGACATTAAAGTATTAACCTAGTCGTTCGAATGTCTGTCCATCATCTGATAATCTGATCCCTTTGTATTGGTACCTATAATGCGATATAGCAAATTTCAATGCGATATACCCGCTGGTTTTTGTTACTGTACTCATACATTTTATGTATAAGATTCATTGAGTCTTTTGAACCTCCACGGAATAAAGTAATGTCGTTTTCGGACTCATTTAATTTCCAGCTTATCTGAATTAGCTTAAGATAAGTTACAACCTACCATCAAACTGAGAATCTACACTGGAAATACAAATACAACAACTTCCTGGTAAATATACATTATTCTTCAAGGTTGATCTTATTCACTGAAATATTTTTATGGATAAAATGAACAGTTGGCAAAAATCCATGTGCTTAGTTGACTTAACTTATGAATAATTCTAACCTTTGCTTGTTAAATAGAGATGCAGAAACTGGAGGTTCTGACGGGACTGCAACAGAAAACCACAACAGTAATCCACCTTATCTACGAATCGATTTTTGCCGCTTTTTAAATGGTGTTAGTAATACTATTATTGGAACCTCTACTGGTTGTGAACATAGTAACGAGGATGAAGATACTCAAATCAATGAAATTCACAATACAAGTGCATCTGTAGATAACGAATCAACAACTGATGAACATGTAAAGAACAAATCTACACCTCACAAAAAACGAAAGAAATATTGTTGGGTTCCCCCAAGCTACACTTACAAAGAAGAAATGAACGTATACTTTCTGAAGAATTACGTTTTGGAAAGCCTTTAATTCGATCTGTGATTACATTGTGAAGTAGATTACTTCAAACTTATTTCATCCTTTCATTCAGATAGATCCTATTCACAAAAATTAGTTATAATTTCGTAAGGCATGTTACCAAGTCTTTATAAACTATTTATTTGTACTACGTAACTCCCTTGTTTTCTCCCATAAATCATCGACAAATTTTTAAACTTCGTCATGTTCTCTCATCTTTTCATGCATGAAAATAATGTAGTTTATGGAAAATTTATCTTTGAATAGGATGATTAAGGAAATTAATTTCATATTACAAATATACTATTCAATCTTGCGCTTTTTGCTTAGCGCACCGGGTACTTCACTTATACGACCTCTGTAAGGATTCCATGGCCTAAACCACGAGCTCCTGAAACAAAAACAATATATAGATAGATAGATAGATAGAAAGAGAAACATATTATTATTAATGATACAAAATATTTGACCGTATTTATTGGATAAACTAATACTACAGACATCGCAAGAGGTGAACAATAAGGATATTCCATCATAATCGAAATACTTATTGCAATGATTATTAAAAATGTATAACCACGTAACAGTTAAAAAATTTCCGGAAACCAGGTGGTCAGTACCCTCCGTAACACCATACGGGTTTAGTGAGGGTGACTAATTACGTCATCTATTTGCATAACGGTTCGAGGCTCACAATTGGTAAATACTTTAAGTGAAATACAAAACGTATAGGTCCAAGTGTGTGACTTATTTAAATGTCATTGAGTCTGACATAAAATCCACCAGTTCGCGAAAGATTTCTGTACAGAAGACCAAAAGTGTTCTTTTGTAAATTATAGTCATCTACTATGGATTAATTTGAGCTATCTAGTTTTAGAACATATATCAGCGAATAATAATGTTTTCGATAAGATCCTCATCGGGCTTTACTCTAATATACAGTAATATTTAATAATAATATTTAACAATTCCGTATTTGCATATAAATATTATTGTATATTGGAGTAAAGCCTGATGAGGATCTTATCGAAAACAATATTGTTCGCTTACATATGTTGTTCTATCTAGTTTCGTTCAACTGCTTAAAAGAGAATCCAGTGCTTTCTTTTTTATTTGACAGTGTATTAGGTAAAACTGAAGGAACGAAAAAACTGAGTACACTTACTTATCGTGAATATCAACATTTTCTGCATTCTTTTCTTTGTTGCAGTCTTTAAGCACCTTATAAGCAAGGCGTCTTTCACCACGCCGACGACTAATCGAACTGTCTAGAAGTTGTTTCCTGTCAGCCCTTGATTGCTTACACATAAGATTTATCCGCCGTTTCTTCCATTCATTCACAAGTCTTTCGAGTTCTTCATCGACTTCAGAACCACTTCTTTTCATCACAGATAATATCCCATCCATATGCGGGAGATCAGAATCAGTCCACAAGGTAATAGCCCGTCCATGGTGACCAGCTCGGCCAGTCCGACCGACGCGATGTATATATTCTTGTTTTAGCGGAGGAACATCGTAATTGACTACCATACTGACACCCTAGTAACCATAAGATATATTTAAAAATTCTGTAAATATTTAGACAATTAAAGATATGAGAACAGTGAAACTATAGGTGTTGGTACTCGAAGCACACATCATAATTAACACAACTGAGTAGTAAACTTTCATTTATGTACACTGTAGATTCATCCTTTCAAGAGTGCTTCTCTATAGTATTGACTACCAATTAAGAACAGGAATAATTGATGTCAAAATATGAAACAGAACAACTTAAATAAATGCACAACATATAATGAGCAATCAACATTTGATTCTAATGGATTACAAGTGTTGCTATTATGTTTGACGTTGAGTGAGTGAAAATAAAATGTATTGAGAGTAACGTTAATGCAAGTATTAAACACAAAAGCCGTGTAAAAAAACAATACAGTGGTCCATCCTGATGGTAATAATAATTTGGAGCAAAATGCTGACGTCTATGAATTTCAACGTGTTCCCCTAAAACGTTTTCCTCCATTGATTCAGGTAGAAAGTATGTCGCGCGTCTTATCAGCGGTTGTTTATTTAAGAATATAAGGTAGGTTTGAACGATATAGAGTTCGGAATGGCTTATAACTAACCACTATCCAAAAGCGGATCATCGAAATGTGGACTCATTAACAAGATTCTCAAAGAAGTGAATTCATAGACTGGGGACATTCAAAGACACAACTTAGGAAGCTCCACGTTAGACCAGCATACGTTCTATCCGTTCATACTTTGTATATTTATTGCCATAAACATAAGCGGTCCCTTGAAATGCCGTGCAATTAATAAACCTCAACTAATCCCCAAGTGGAAATGTTCTGCATCGTTACATGCTAATGATGCTTCGAGGGGATATATCGAGCACATGCAGTTTCTTCTAGTATACATTTAACACATGATGGTGAGAACTCTTTATTGTAATCAAATCTAAGGCGATTATACTACCGTTAATCGAGGGTCAAAATGACATAAAGGTAAAAAAGATTATATATGATTAGTCTTTCTGATAGAGTTCATATAAAAAGCGTAAATCAATCAGTTTAATTTCAAAAACATACTTTAAAGTCTATTCCACGACCCAATAGATCCGTACAAATAAGAACATGAAGCTGTCCCTCACGGAAAGCGCGAATCACACTGGCACGCTTTAAAAAAAAGAAAAGCTTCATCGAATCTATTAAGTAGCCAAAAATTAACAAATGATAACCATTCCATTGACTCACGTGTTGAATAACATTTGATAGAACTATAACTTTTATACCATGAATATGCAATTTATCGTGCTAATTTTCCGTCATGGAGGTTGCTAAATTGTCAAGGCACTGGACTTCCAATCGTTAGTTCGCAAGTTCGACGCCGCTCCCTCGATATATTTTGGTCTGGATAGTTAAGTAATGTCAACGCGCCTTGTAAAAATATGCGACTCAAAGTTGAGTACGTAAATGTATACCAGATAAAGTTAATAGGACATATTATAGTAATTCTTCACATTTAACTTGTCCAAAGTCATTTATCATTTATACACAGAGATATTGTGACAGTGTTTGTCTCTACTTAATGCTATACACATTTTCTTACTATGACTTAACCTTCTTCTTGGGTGAGTGGTTGAGTTGACGAAGAACAGTATTTTACATTACTTTTATTCAAAGGATACCTAGACATGTTAATAAGGATCAGTGATAAAGCAAGAAACCAAATAGAATATATGCAGAAGTGATAAACTGTTCGTCACAAACTAAAATCAACTGTGAATAAACAAATATAAAGTCTACAGAAAATTAAATTCCCCAATTACTAAGTAACTCGTCTATAAATATATGACTGAGTGGCATTTAGTTATATTTGCTTCTAAGTGTTCAGTCGTACTTTTTCAAGGTGGCTAGATAAGACATTAGGTCTAACTATCACATGATACTTTAAGTTCTTATATAACAAACAGAAACTGTATAAATAAATAAAACCATGAATAAACCAAACTATAGGGCATGAACTTTCAAAAAGGATCTTTTCAATAATTTCACATTGTAATGAATATTTTGTGACTACTACTGTAGTGAACGAAAACTATTTAATGTAAAATCACACAGCGTCTTTGTAAAATATGAAAATCATAAATTAAATACGTCGTTCGCACAGCTTCTTTGCATTGTCCTTTACATACTCCACTATTCCTCTAATTCTGTTGTTATTTCGATTGCTCGTCGATTTCCTCCTGTTCTCGTTATTTCAATATGCTGCTGTCAGGCATTCCATTTCCTATTGCGGCTACATACTACTTATATCTGTCAGCACAAATAGCACACACTACACTGCTACTACAGTCATCACCAAGCAGGAAAATAAACTTTAACATAAAAATCTCTCCCTAAAAATGTACACATACTTGTGCTTCTGTTTTGTCACTTGAAATAACATTCGCAAGAATATCTGCATCAGACAAAAGAATTTCCTTAAGAATTTCATTGGCTCTATCTCGAGACTGCATAAAAATTAAACATGGATAAGCTAGTCCATTAGCCAGTAGATAACGCATCTCTAACAGTTTTCCCTGTTCTGTAGCACAATAACGTAACTCTTGTTTGACAGTAGAAACAGCAGCATTTCTATACAAGTGGTTAGAAAAAAAGTACATAAAATTTGCAAACTTAGAAACGACGAAAGTAAGATTAAAAAGAAGTAAGCTTAAGTGATGACAACAGCTAATCCTGTTTGAGAGCGCAGTTATTTTCTCTCAAGTTATATTTTTAGAAAAATAAGAGCATTTAACTACTTAATAAGTGTCCGTTAACTATTGAACCCAGGAATACAATATATTTAACTTATTACTGTAATACATTTTTTCATACTACAACTAGAACTAATAAACTGCTGCATGAGAACCAACAGCCATTCAGCCAAGAGTTTACGCTTATGTTTCCTTTAATTATATTTCAAAATATGAAATGATGTTTAAAATTCAAAGATTTGATGAGTCAAAAGATAGGTCGAACTTCTATCGTCGGCTTGATTATTTTCAAGACAGCATATTCATTAGACCATTATTTTTGCAATAATAAAAAATTAATTGAGATTACTTTGCAACTGTCTTCCACACTTTACTGCTTATTTGTTAACTAACAAGTAAACTGTAGTCACATCACAGTGGCTGAATGCTATGACAACTTTCATAGCAAATTTAAACTTTCGTGACACTCCCCTTCTACAACTATTCATGGAATTAAAAAAATCTGAATAAGTTTGCAATAAGTAGATGCTTTGCTTCTGAACGACTATGTGCATGCATAAAAATTTCCAACCATTAGGCGAAAAGTTATCTGGCGAACAAATTAGTAGACAATAACGTACTAAGAAGAGTCTGACGTCAGTAGAAACTTAAGTATACCGAACTTTAGTACATAGTTCAGTCAGTCAGTTAGCTACAACGTAGGACCAGGCACATATATGCATCGGTCCAAGTTGACATACCTAACTAGCACAACAAGATGAACACTGGATTCATAGAAGTAGTTAATTCAATGGTGGTAATACATAAAAAAAAGATTGTATATAAGGGTATAGTACATGAAGAAAGAATTAGTTCGTATAAAGTACATAGTTACCTAACTAGAAATTCACATTTACCCTAAGAGTAAAAATACACAAATACATGTTTTGACTACAAAACTGAGGATATTAAACAGCGCAACACTACTACCCAAACATAAAATAGGATAAACAAGTTTTTCAGGACTGTTACTGATAATCCCTTACTTACCGGATACCTACTCGTAACTGAATT